TAATAACTTGATTGGAATTATAACCTTGAATTGACAGTTTGATACTTTGAAAATTTTGAGCCAGCCCTACCCCCAAGGGCTGTAGGGTGGGGCTCAAAGGAGTCAGTGTGCTAAAATTTCTTCATTTTCCTTGTTAAGAATCAGAGGTGCTAGTTTCAAATCCTTTTTAGTCTGAAATCTGTATGCTAGATATTGAGTAAGGTGGTTTTATTGTTTTTTGTCACTTTGAATAATATTTCTGTTCATGTTAAAAACAAAATCAACTCTCTGTATAAATATATCAGGTGACCGTTAAGGCCCATGGGCCTCTTGTTTTCTTCTTACATATCTTGATACTTTCTTACTAACTTATTTAATCATCTTCATTGAATAATACTCTATATGTTTGCATAATCTGAAATCCAACCATACAGTAATTTGCAATGTAAACACGCGTATTTGTTTACACTTTGGTTCAGTTTCGTGTATTTTGTCCTCATTTCGTCAGTTTCTTCGCCTTTTGACACATACATGTAGCTTGTCAAACGAGATACATGCTTTTAAACGCTGGCATATATCAACAGCATGTTAATGGCTAAAATCTTGTTTAATGCTTTTTATGGTGTCTTTTTTTCTGTGATGTATCTTAGGCTTAACAAAATAAACATGTAATGCCGTGTGTGGTTTTGAGTAATGCATTCAGCGGTTACATAATTATGAAAGCTGTAGGATCATTACTACACAGGGATTATACGTATCTGTGCGGCGTTAAAATATCAATACATTGTGATGTAAAGAGTGTCATATACAAATGTTTGAAGTTCCAAATTTTATTGGGGCCGGGAAAATAATGCTCCACTAAATGAACTACATGTATCACTATCTGCATCAAACGCACATTTATTTACGCCCGAAGTTTTGATTGCTACTGTAACTTCCCTGTTGTTTCTTCCAATACCAAAGATCTTCATTGAACAACAATGTTCGGTTAGTGTACGGTGGCATGCTGTGAAACTTCCGTTTTCGTTAATACATCGAACTTCCCCTCGCAATGATAGCACCGGAATTGTCTTAGTTCAGCCATGCATTCACTGAAAATGAATAAGCAGTAAATCGGTAACTCAGATTGTGGATGAAATATTTTCTATCGATCAAAGACTAGTAAGTGTTTCCCAAACGACAAATTATCCAAATTTCTGATTCTCATAACAGGTTCCATACGAAGAACGGAACATACCTATCCCAACAGTATATCTGATTTCATCTCCATTTTTGCAGAGATTAATGTTAATAAGTGCTTTAATTTCGCAGCGTCAACATTTTGCGTTTTCATTCGCGCTACAGTATCCACCTGTGTCAGAATTCATACACGACAGACAACTTCTGGTAAAGTTTCCTAATTTCATGTGTTTGGTGTTGCCCGTTTGACAATGAATTTAATTACAAAATGTGGGTATTGTTTTTACTACTAAAATGTTAATAGAACGATAATTCCTATAAAATCAAACCAAATATACTACTTAGTCATATTACTCAAAGAACCGATAACACCGCATTTAATATTACTGTAGACCGACCAATACTTTACTCAACAGCTGTAAATATGGTACAGGTTATGCCATTCTAAATATATCTCTTTTTTTACAGCTCTCCCTAGTTTGTATTATATCATCATTTTATAAAATTATCTCTGTTGACCTGTGTTATAAACATTGTTTATAACACAACATCATCTGTCTTGACCTGTAACGTGTTATAAACATCGTACATAATATAACATTATCTCTGTTGACCTGTGACGTATTATAAACATTGTTTACAATACAATATCATCTGTCTGGACCTGTGACGTGTTATTAACATTGTTTACAATACAACATCATCTGTCTGGACCTGTGACGTATTATAAACATTGTTTACAATACAACATCATCTGTCTGGACCTGTGACGTGTTACAATCATTGTTTACAATACAACATCATCTGTCTGGGCCTGTGACGTGTTATAAACATTGCTTACAATACAACATCATCTGTCTGGACCTGTGACGTGTTATAACATTGTTTACAATACAACATCATCTGTCTGGACCTGTGACGTGTTATAAACATTGTTTACAATACAACATCATCTGTTTGAACCTGTGACGTATTATAAACATTGTTTACAATACAATAGCATCTGTGTAGACTTGTGACGTATTACAAACATTGTTTACAATACAATATCATCTGTGTAGACCTGTGACGTGTTATTAACATTGTTTACAATACAGTATCATCTGTGTAGACCTGTGACGTGTTATTAACATTTTTTTAGTTCGGTTTGTTTTAATATATATATGACAAAGTGATGAAAATATAAATGCAAAAACAAAGAAGATGTATTGATATACATGATGCACATAAATACAATTATATCATTGTGTTTAGAATGTAAAAAAAAAGGTTGTAATAGCACCATGAAATATCTGCTTTTTTGTTTGTTAATACCAGAGCAACAACTCAAATTCCAATTTGTTGTCGAATATTGGCATTTAATTAATGCCAAACAGTTATAGCATAATTCTGTTAGTTGTATAATAATTGTAATCATTTTTCACTTAGCATGAAAGGTGGGGCGAACAACATGATCATAACGCCACAAACTTGAACGGGAATTATGAAAATATTCTATCATGTGCCCCAACCTAGGCATAAAGGTGGGGTACTGAACCTAGTGAATTCATGCAAAAAATGGTTGGGAGATCAGTGATATTTCT